GTCACATTTTCATTGATAACAATGTCGGTCAATGGCATCCACAACATCATTGGTCATATTTTCATTGATAACAATGTCGATCAATGGCATCCACAACATCCTTGGTCACATTTTTTGTTGATAACAATGTCGGTCAATGGCATCCACAAATATCCTTGGTCACATTTTCATTGATAACAATGTCGGTCAATGGCATCCACAACATCCTTGGACACATTTTCATTTATAACAATGTCGGTCAATGGCATCCACAATATCATGGCATCACATTTCATTCTCATTGATAACAATGTCGGTCAATGGCATCCACAGCATCATTGGTCACATTTTCATTGATAACAATGTCGGTCAATGGCATCCACAACATCCTTGGTCACATTCTCGTTTTCATTGATAAATAATGTCGGTCAATGGCATCCACAACATCCTTGGTCACATTTTCACAATGTTTCAATGGCATCCACAACATCATTGATCACATTCTCATTGATAATGGCATCATATCACAACATCCTTGGTCACATTTTCGTGATAACAATGTCGGTCAATGGCATCCACAACATCATTGATCACATTTTTCATTGATAACAATGTCGGTCACTGGCATCCACAACATCCTTGATCACATTTTCATTGATAACAATGTCAGTCAATGGCATCCACAACATCCTTGGTCACATTTTCATTGATAACAATGTCGGTCAATGGCATCCACAACATCATTGATCACATTCTCATTTTATAACAATGTCGGTCAATCACAATATCATTGGTCCATTTTCATTTATAACAATGTCGATCAATCCACAACATCCTTGGCACATTTTCATTGATAACAATGTCGGTCAATGGCATCCACAACATCCTTGGTCACATTTCATTGATAACAATGTCAGTCAATGGCATCCACAACCTCCTTGGTCACATTTTTCATTGATAACAATGTCGGTCAATAGCATCCACAACATCCTTGGTCATTTCATTGATAACAATGTCGGTTGTAGCATCCACAACATCCTTGGTCACATTTTCATTGATAACAATGTCGGTCAATGGCATCCACAACATCCTTGGTCACATTTTCATTGATAACAATGTCGGTCAATGGCATCCACAGCATCCTTGGTCACATTTTCATTGATAACAATGTCGGTCAATGGCATCCACAACATCATTGATCACATTCTCATTGATAACAATGTCGGTCAATGGCATCCACAACATCCTTGGTCACATTTTCATTGATAACAATGTCGGTCAATGGCATCCACAAACTCGTGATCCTTTTATTGATAACAATAATGTCAATGGCATTTTCATTGATAACAATGTCGGTCAATGGCATCCAAACATCCTTGGTCATTTTTTTCATTGATAACAATGTCGGTCAATGGCATCCCCAACATCCTTGGACACATTTTCAGTTTATAACAATGTCAACATCCTTATCCTTGGTCACATTTTCATTGATAACAATGTCAGTCAATGCATCCATAACATCCTTGATCACATTTTATTTATAACAATGTCGGTCAATGGCATCCACAACATCCTTGGTCACATTTTCATTGATATAATGTCGGTCAATAGCATCCACAACATCCTTGGTCACATTTTCATTGATAACAATGTCGGTCAATGGCATCCACAACATCCTTGGTCACATTTTTCATTGATAACAATGTCGGTCCAATGGCATCCACAACATCCTTGGTCACATTTCATTGATAACACATTTTCATTGATAACAATGTGGTCAATGGCATCCACAACATCCTTGGTCACATTTTCATTGATAACAATGTCGGTCAATAATCCACAACATCCTTGGTCACATTTTCGTGATAACAATGTCGGTCAATGGCATCCACAAAATCCTTGGTCACATTTTCATTGATAACAATGTCGGTCAATCCATCAACATCCTTGGTCACATTTTTTATTGATAACAATGTCCGGTCAATGGCATCCACAACATCCTTGGTCACATTTTCATTGATAACAATAATGTCGGTCAATGGCATCCACAACATCCTTGGTCATATTTTTTATTAACAATGTCGGTCAATGGCATCCACAACATCCTTGGTCACATTTTCATTGATAACAATGTCGGTCAATGGCATCCACAACATCCTTGGTCACATTTTCATTGATAACAATGTCGGTCAATGGCATCCACAACATCCTTGGTCACATTTTCATTGATAACAATGTCGGTCAATGGCATCCACAACATCCTTGGACACATTTTCATTGATAACAATGTCGGTCAATGGCATCCACAACATCCTTGGTCACATTTTCATTGATAACAATGTCGGTCAATGGCATCCACAACATCCTTGGTCACATTTTCATTGATAACAATGTCGGTCAATGGCATCCACAACATCCTTGGTCACATTTTCATTGATAACAATGTCGGTCAATGGCATCCACAACATCATTGATCACATTTTTATTGATAACAATGTCGGTCAATGGCATCCACAACATCCTTGGTCACATTTTCATTGATAACAATGTCGGTCAATGGCATCCACAACATCCTTGGACACATTTTCATTGATAACAATGTCGGTCAATGGCATCCACAACATCCTTGGTCACATTTTCATTGATAACAATGTCCGGTCAATGGCATCCACAACATCCTTGGTCATATTTTCATTGATAACAATGTCGGTCAATGGCATCCACAACATCCTTGGTCACATTTCATTTATAATAATGTTTGTCAATGGCATCCACAATATCCCTTGGTCACATTTCATTGATAACAATGTCGGTCAATGGCATCCACAACATCCTTGGTCACATTTTTCATTGATAACAATGTGTCGGTCAATGGCATCCACACAACATCCTTGGTCACATTTTCTCTATTGATAACAATGTCGGTCAATGGCAATCCACAACATCCTTGGTCACATTTTTATTGATAACAATATCGGTCAATGGCATCCACAACATCCTTGGTCACATTTTCATTGATAACAATGTCAATGTCCAATTGTCATCCATAACAATGTCTTGGTCACATTGGTCACATTTCATTGATAACAATGTCAGTCAATGGCATCCACAAACTCATTGATCATTTTTCATTGATAACAATGTCAGTCAATGGCATCCACAACATCCTTGGTCACATTTTCATTGGATAACAATGTCGGTCAATGGCATCCCCAACATCCTGGTCATGTTTTCATTGATAACAATGTCGGTCAATGGCATCCACAACATCCTCACATTTTCTTTGATAACAATGTCGGTCAATGGCATCTACAACATCCTTGGTCACATTTTCGTGATAACAATGTCGGTCAATGGCATCCACAACATCATTGGTCACATTTTATTGATAACAATGTCGGTCAATGGCATCCACAATATCCCTGGTCACATTTTCATTGATAACAATGTCGGTCAATGCATCCACAATATCCTTGGTCACATTTTCATTGATAACAATGTCGGTCAATGCATCCAGCATCCTTGGTCACATTTTCATTGATAACAATGTCGGTCAATGGCATCCAACATCATTGATCACATTCTCATTGATAATGTCGGTCAATGGCATCCACAACATCCTTGTATCACATTTTCATTGATAACAATGTCGGTCACGCATCCAACATCATTGATCACATTTTATTGATAACAATGTTTGGTCACGGCATCCACAACATCCTTGGTCACATTTTCATTGATAAATAAATGTCGGTCAATGGCATCCACAACATCTTTTTGGTCACATTTTCATTGATAATAATGTCGGTCAATGGCATCCACAAATATCCTTGGTCACATTTTCATTGATAACAATGTCGGTCAATGGCATCCACAACATCCTTGGTCACATTTTCATTGATAACAATGTCGGTCAATGGCATCCACAACATCCTTGGATCACATTTCTCATTGATAACAATGTCGGTCAATGGCATCCACAACATCCTTGGTCACATTTTCATTGATAACAATGTCGGTCAATGGTATCCACAACATCCTTGATACATATTTTCATTGATAACAATGTCGGTCAATGGCATCCACAACATCCTTGGTCACATTTTCATTGATAACAATGTCGGTCAATGGCATCCACATCACATCCTTGGTCATGGCATCCACAACATCCTTGGTCACATTTTCATTGATAATGTCGGTCAATGGCATCCAAACATGGCAATTCATAACATCCTGTGGTCATATTTTCATTTATAACAATGTCGGTCAATGGCATCCACAACATCCTTGGTCACATTTTCATTGATAACAATGTCGGTCAATTGCATCCACAACATCATTGGTCACATTTTCATTGATAACAATGTCGGTCAATGGCATCCATCAACATCCTTGGTCACATTTTCATTGATAACAATGTCGGTCAATAGCATCCACAACATCCTTGGTCACATTTTCATTGATAACAATGTCAATGGTCCACAATATCATTGGTCCATTTCATTGATAACAATGTCAGTCAATGGCATCCACAACATCCTTGGACACATTTTCATTGATAACAATGTCAGTCAATGGCATCCACAACATCCTTGATCACATTTTCATTGATAACAATGTCGGTCAATGGCATCCACAACATCCTTGGTCACATTTTCATTGATAACAATGTCGGCATCACAATGGCATCACATAACATCCTCGGTCAATGTAACATCCACAACATCCTTGATCATTTTCATTGATAACAATGTCAATCAATGGCATCCACAACATCATTGGTCATATTTGTGATAACAATGTCAATCAATGGCATCCACAACATCTTCTTGGTCACATTTTCATTGATAACAATGTCGGTCAATGGCATCCAAGCATCCTGGTCACATTTTTCATTGATAACAATGTCGGTCAATAACATCCACAACATCCTTGGTCACATTTTCATTTATAACAAATGTCGGTCAACGGCATCCTTATAACATCATTGATCACATTTCATTGATAACAAATGTCGGTCAATGGCATCCACAACATCCTTGGTCACATTTTCATTGATACCAAATGTCGGTCAACGGCATGCCATTAATGTCGGTCAAATGGCATCCACAACATCCCTTGGTCACATTTTCATTGATGTGATCGGTCAACATCCACAAATATCCTTGGTGTTAACATACCGTCGGTCAACACATCCACAACATCCCGGACACATTTCATTTATAACAATGTCGGTCATCACATCCACAATATCACTTGGTCATTTCATTGATAACAATGTCATCAATGGCATCAACATCCTTGATCATATTTTATTGATAACAATGTCGGTCAACGGTATCCACAACACATCCTTGATCACATTTTCATTGATAACAATGTCGGTCAATGGCATCCACAACATCCTTGGTCATTTTCATTTTTATAACAATGTCGGTCAATGGCATCCCAACTCATTGATCACATTTTCATTGATAACAATGTCGGTCAATGGCATCCACAACATCATTGGTCACATTTTCATTGATAACAATGTCGGTCAATGGCATCCACAACATCCTTGGTCACATTTTCATTGATAACAATGTCGGTCAATGGCATCCACAACATCCTTGGTCACATTTCATTGATAACAATGTCGGTCAATGGCATCCACAACATCCATTTTCATTGGTCACATTTTCATTGATCACAATGTCGGTCAATGGCATCCACAACATCCTTGGTCACATTTTCATTGATAACAATGTCATTGGCATCCACAACATCATTGATCACATTTTCATTGATAACAATGTCGGTCAATGGCATCCACAACATCCTTGGTCACATTTTCATTGATAACAATGTCGGTCAATGGCATCCAACATCCTTGGTCACATTTTCATTGATAACAATGTCGGTCAATGGCATCCACAACATCATTGGTCATTTTTCATTGATAACAATGTCGGTCAATGGCATCCACATCCTTGGTCACATTTTCATTGATAACAATGTCGGTCAATGGCATCCACAACATCCTTGGTCACATTTTCATTGATAACAATGTCGGTCAATGGCATCCACAACATCATTGGTCACATTTTTCGGATAACAATGTCGGTCAATGGCATCCACAACATCCTTGGTCACATTTTCATTGATAACAATGTCGGTCAATGGCATCCACAACATCATTGGTCATTTTTCATTGATAACAATGTCGGTCAATGGCATCCACAACATCCTTGATCACATTCTCATTGATAACAATGTCGGTCAATGGCATCCACAACATCCTTGGTCACATTTTCATTGGTCATAACAATGTCGGTCAATGGCATCCAACAACATCCTTGGTCACATTTTCATTGATAACAATGTCGGTCAATGGCATCCACAACATCCTTGGTCACATTTTCATTGATAACAATGTCGGTCAATGGCATCCACAACATCCTTGGTCACATTTCATTGATAACAATGTCGGTCAATGGCATCCCAATATCCTTGGTCACATTTTCATTGATAACAATCGGTCAATGGCATCCACAACATCATTGATCACATTTTCATTGATAACAATGTCGGTCAATGGCATCCACAACATCCTTGGTCACATTTTCATTTAGCAATGTCGGTCATTGATAACAATGTCGGTCAATGGCATCCACAACATCCTTGGTCATATTTTCGTGATAACAATGTCGGTCAATATCCACAACATCCTTGGTCATTTTCATTGATAACAATGTCGGTTGGCATCCACAAACATCCTTGATCACATTTTTGATAACAATGTCGGTCAATGGCATCCAACATCAATTTTCATTGATAACAATGTCGGTCAATGGCATCCACAACATCCTTGGTCACATTTTCATTGATTGATAACAATGTCGGTCAATGGCATCCCAACATCCTTGGTCACATTTTCATTGATAACAATGTCGGTCAATGGCATCCACAACATCCTTGGTCACATTTTTTATAAACAATGTCGTCACCGGTAATTCAACATCCTTGGTCACATTTTCATTGATAACAATGTCGGTCAATGGCATCCACAATATCCTTTCATTGTCACATTTCAGTCATTGACATCCTGTCAACAATGTCGGTCAATGGTCATCCACAATATCCTTGGTCCTTGGTATTCATTGGATAACAAATGTCGGTCAATGGCATCCACAACATCCTTGGTCACATTTTCATTGATAACAATGTCGGTCAATAGCATCCACAAAATCCTTGGTCCACATTCTCATTATTAACAATGTCAGTCAATAGCACAACATCCTTGGTCATTTTCAAACTGATAACAAATGTCGGTCATAATGGCATCCAACATCATGAGTCAATTTCATTGATCACATCTGAGTCACATTTCATTGATAACAATGTCGGTCAATGGTATCCATACATCCTTGGTCACATTTTCATTGGATAACAATGTCGGACACATTTTCAAATGGCATCCACAATATCCTTGGTCACATTTTCATTGATAGGCCAATGTCCAGTCAATGGTATCCACAACATCCTTGGTCACATTTTCATTCGATAACAATGTTTGGTCAATTTTCGTCCACAAATATCCATTGGTCACATTTTCATTGATAACAATCATCGGTCAATATCCACAACATCCTTGACACATTTTCATTGATAACAATGTCAGTCAATGGCATCCAATAACATCCTTGATCACATTTTCATTGATAAATAATGTCGGTCAATGGCATCCACAACATCCCTGGTCACATTTTCATTGATAACAATGTGTCGGTCAATGGCATCCACAACATCCTTGGTCACATTTTCATTGATAACAATGTCGGTCAATGGCATCCACAACATCCTGGTCACATTTTCATTGATAACAATGTCGGTCAATAGCATCCACAACATCCTTGGTCACATCTTCATTGATAACAATGTCGGTCAATGGCATCCACAACATCCTTGTCAGTCAATCATCAATATTTTCATTTCATTGATAACAATGTCGGTCAATGGCATCCACAACATCCTTGATCACATTTCATTGATAACAATGTCAGTCAATGGCATCACAACATCCTTGGTCACATTTTCCAATGTCGGTCAATGGCATCCTTCCTTGGTCATATTTTCATTGATAACAATGTCGGTCAATGGCATCCACAACATCCTTAGTCACATTTTCATTGATAACAATGTCAATCAATGGTCATAACAATGTCAATGGCATCCACAAACATCCTTTGGTCCATTTTCATTGATAACAATGTCGGTCAATTGCATCCACAACATCCTTGGTCACATTTTCATTGATAACAAATGTCGTCAACAGCATCCATAACATCCTTGGTCACATTAATATTACCAACAATGTCAATGGTATCCGTCATCCTCATTCACATTACTGATAATAATGTCGGTCACTGGTATTCACAACATCCTTGGACATTTTCATTGATAAATAAATGTTTCTGTCAATGGCATCCACAACATCCTTGGTCACATTTTCCTTTGATAACAATGTCAACAATGGTATCCACAACATCCTTGGTCAAGCATTTTCATTGATAACAATGTCGGTCAAATGGCATCCACAACATCCTTGGTCATATTTTCATTGATAACAATGTCGGTCAATGGCATCCACAACATCATTGATCACATTCTCATTGATAACAATGTCGGTCAATGGCATCCACAACATCCTTGGTCACATTTTCATTTATAACAATGTCGGTCAATGGCATCCACAAACTCATTGATCACATTTTTATTGATAACAATGTCGGTCAATGGCATCCACAACATCCTTGGTCATTTCATTGATAACAATGTCGGTCAATGGCATCACAACATCATTGGTCATATTTTCATTGATAACAATGTCGGTCAATGGCATCACAACATCCTTGGTCACATCATGATAACAATGTCGGTCAATGGCATCCACAACATCATTGGTCATATTTTCATTGATAACAATGTCATCCATCCACAACATCATTGATATCCTTGGTCACATTTTCATTGATAACAATGTCGGTCAATGGCATCCACAACATCCTTGGTCACATTTCATTGATAACAATGTCAGTCAATTCCACAACATCCTTAGTCACATTTTCATTGATAACAATGTCGGTCAATGGCATCCACAACATCCTTGGTCACATTTTCATTGATAACAATGTCGGTCAATGGCATCCACAACATCCTTGGTCACATTTTCATTGATAACAATGTCGGTCAATGGCATCCACAACATCATTGATAACAATGTCGGTCATTCCACAACATCATTGGTCACATTTTCATTGATAACAATGTCGGTCAATGGCATCCACAACATCCTTGGTCACATTTTCATTGATAACAATGTCGGTCAATGGCATCCACAACATCCTTGGTCACATTTTCATTTATAACAATGTCGGTCAATGGCATCCACAACATCATTGGTCACATTTTCATTGATAACAATGTCGGTCAATGGCATCCACAACATCATTGATCACATTCTCATTGATAACAATGTCGGTCAATGGCATCCACAACATCCTTGGTCACATTTTCATTTATAACAATGTCGGTCAATGGCATCCACAACATCCTTGGTCACATTTTCATTGATAACAATGTCGGTCAATGGCATCCACAACATCCTTGGTCATTTTCATTGATAACAATGTCGGTCAATGGCATCCACAACATCCTGGTCACATTTTCATTGATAACAATGTCGGTCAATGGCATCCACAACATCCTTGGTCACATTTTCATTGATAACAATGTCGGTCAATGGCATCCACAACATCCTTGGTCACATTTTCATTGATAACAATGTCGGTCAATGGCATCCACAACATCCTTGGTCACATTTTCATTGATAACAATGTCGGTCAATGGCATCCACAACATCCTTGGTCCATTTTCATTGATAACAATGTCGGTCAATGGCATCCACAACATCCTTGGTCACATTTTCATTGATAACAATGTCGGTCAATGGCATCCACAACATCCTTGGTCACATTTTCATTGATAACAATGTCGGTCAATGGCTCCACAACATCCTTGGTCACATTTTCATTGATAACAATGTCGGTCAATGGCATCCACAACATCCTTGGTCACATTCTCATTGATAACAATGTCGGTCAATGGCATCCACAACATCCTTGGTCACATTTTCATTGATAACAGTAATGTCGTCAATGGCATCCAACATCCTTTGGTCATTTTCATTGATAACTGTCGGTCAATGGCATCCACAACATCCTTGGTCATTTTCATTGATAACAATGTCAGTCAATGGCATCCACAACATCCTTGGTCACATTTTCATTGATAACAATGTCGGTCAATGGCATCCACAACATCCTTGTACATATTTTCATTGATAACAATGTCGGTCAATGGCATCCACAACATCCTTGGTCACATTTTCATTGATAACAATGTCGGTCAATGGCATCCACAAACATGGACACATTTTTATTGATCACAATGTCGGTCAATGGCATCCATCCTTGGTCACATTTTTCGTGATAACAATGTCGGTCAATGGCATCCACAACATCCTTGGTCACATTTTCATTGATAACAATGTCAGTCAATGGCATCCACAACATCCTTGATCCATTTTCATTTTCATTGGCATCCAGCCAACATCCTTGGTCATTTTCATTGATAACAATCGGTCAATGGCATCCACAGCACAACATCCTTGGTCACATTTTCATTGATAACAATGTCGGTCAATGGCATCCACAACATCCTTGGTCACATTTTCATTGATAACAATGTCGATCGTCAATGGCATCCACAACATCCTTGGTCACATTTTCATTGATAACAATGTCGGTCAATGGCATCCATCAACATCCTTGGTCACATTTTCATTGATAACAATGTCGGTCAATGGCATCCAACAACATCCTTGGACATATTTTTTCATTGATAACAATGTCGGTCAATGGCATCCACAACATCCTTGGTCACATTTTCATTGATAACAATGTCAGTCAATGGCATCCACAACATCCTTGGACACATTTTCATTGATAACAATGTCGGTCAATGGCATCCACAACATCCTTGGTCATTTTCATTATTAACAATGTCGGTCAATGGCATCCACAACATCATTGGTCACATTTCATTGATAACAGTAATCGGTCAATGGCATCCACAACATCATGGTCACATTTTCATTGATAACAATGTCGGTCAATGGCATCCACAACATCCTTGGTCACATTTTCATTGATAACAATGTCGGTCAATTGCATCCACAACATCATTGGTCACATTTTCATTATTAACAATGTCGGTCAATGGCATCCACAACATCCTTGGTCACATTTTCGAATGTCGGTCAATGGCATCCACAACATCCTTGGTCATTTTTCGTGATAACAATGTCGGTCAATGGCATCCAAACATCCCTGATAATAATGACACATTTTCATTGATAACAATGTCGGTCAATGGCATCCACAACATCCTTGGTCACATTTCCATTGATAACAATGTCGGTCATTGATCACATTCCTTGGTCACATTTCATTGATAACATTGAACAATGTCGGTCAATGGCATCCACAACATCCTTGGTCACATTTTCATTGATAACAATGTCCGGTCAATGGCATCCACAACATCCTTGGTCACATTTCATTGATAACAATGTCGGGCATCCAACAACCTCAGTCACATTTTTCATTGATAACAATGTCGGTCAATGGCATCCACAACATCCTTGGACACATTTCATTGATAATAATGTCGGTCAATTGCATCACTACATCCTTGGTCACATTTCATTGATAACAATGTCGGTCAATGGCATCCACAACATCCTTGGTCACATTTTCATTTGAAATAAATGTCGGTCAATGGCATCCACAACATCATTGATCACATTTTCATTGATAACAATGTCTCGGTCAATGGCATCCATCACACATTTTCCGGTCAATGGCATCCACAACATTTTCATTTTCTTTGATAACAATGTCGGTCATCGGCATCCACAACATCCTTTGGTCCATTTTTTGATTGATAATGGCATCCACAAGCCGGACAATGGCAATCCTACAGCATCCTTGGTCACATTTTCGATAACAATGTCATATCCTTGGTCAATGGCAATGGCCACAACATCCTTGGTCACATTTTCATTGATAACAATGTCGGTCAATGGCATCCAAACATCCTTGGTCACATTTTCATTGATAACAATGTCGGTCAATGGCATCAATGGCATCAACATAACAATGTCGGTCAATGGCATCCGCAAAATTTGATCATTTTCATTGATAACAATGTCGGTCAATGGCATCCACATCCTTGGTCACATCCTTGGTCATCATTTTTATTGATAACAATGTCGGTCAATGGCATCCACAACATCCTTGGATCACATTTTTATTGATAACAATGTCGGTCAATGCCATCCATTGATAACAACATCCTCAATGGCATCATCCTTGGTCACATTTTCATTGATAACAATGTCGGTCAATTGCATCCACAACATCATTGATCACATTTTCATTGATAACAATGTCAGCCAATGGCATCCATAACAATGGCATCCAGGAACATCCTTGGTCAATTTTTCATCCACAACATCCTTGGTCACATTTTCATTGATAACAATGTCGGTCAATGGCATCCACAACATCCTTGGTCACATTTTCATTGATAACAATGTCGGTCAATGGCATCCACAACATCCTTGGTCACATTTTCATTGATAACAATGTCGGTCAATGGCATCCACAACATCCTTGGTCACATTTTCATTGATAACAATGTCGGTCAATGGCATCCAATGGAACATCCTTGGTCACATTTTCATTCCACAACATCCTTGGTCAACAATTGATCAATGTCGGTCAATGGCATCCACAACATCATTGATCACATTTTATTGATAACAATGTCGGTCAATGGCATCCACAACATCCTTGGTCAACATCCTTGGTCAACATTTTCATTTTTCATTGATAACAATGTCGGTCAATGGCATCAATGGCATCCACAACATCCTTGGTCACATTTTCATTGATAACAATGTCGGTCAATGGCATCCACAACATCCTTGGTCACATTTTCATTGATAACAATGTCGGTCAATGGTATCCACAACATCCTTGGTCACATTTTTATTTAACAATGATATCAACATCCTTGGTCACATTTTCATTGTTTCAATAGTCAATGGTCATCCAATGTCAGTCATTTGGCATCACATCATTGATCTTTTTGGTCGGTCAATGGCATCCACAACATCCTTGGTCCATTTATGATATCAATGGCATCCAAACATACTTGGTCACATTTCATTGATAAAAATGTTAACATCCACAGCATTGGTCAATGTCATCCATCATCCTTTTCATTAGAAACAATGTCGGTCAATCATCCATTTGATCATTCTCTTGATAACAATGTCGGTCAACATCCACAACATCCTTGATCACATTCTCATTGATAACAATGTCGGTCAATGGCATCCACAACATCCCACATTCTCATTGATAACAATGTCGTCAATGGCATCCATTTGGTCTATTGATAACAATGTCATAATGGCACAATGTTTTCATTTATTAACAATGTCGGTCAATCCACAACATCCTTGGTCATATTTTCGATCATTGATAATGTCATTCAATGGCATCCTTACAATAACATCTTTGATCACATTTTCATTGATAATAATGTCAGTGTTTTGGCATCCACAACATCCTTGGTCATTTTTTCATTGATAACAATGTCGGTCAATGGCATCCACAACATCCTTGGTCACATTTTCATTGATGTTTGTGATAACAATGTCGATCAATCGTCGGATAACAATGTCAGTCAATATCCAACATCCTTGGTCCATTTTATTGATAACAATGTCGGTCAATGGCATCCACAACATCATGGTCACATTTCATTGGTCGGTCAATTTCCACAACATCATGATAATAACAATGTCGGTCAATGGCATCCACAACATCCTTGGTCACATTTCTGTTGTAATGTCAGTCAATGGCATCCACAACATCCTTGATCACATTTTCATTAACAATGTCCGATGTGTCAGTCAATGGCATCCACAATGGCATCCTTGGTCACATTTTCATTGATAACAATGTCGGTCAATGGCATCCACAACATCCTTGGTCATATTTCATTTTAATGTCGGTCAATGGCATCCACAATGTCCTTGGTCACATTACCATTTCGGTAACAATATTGGTCATTTTCGTTCGGCATCCACAGCATCCTTGGTCATTTTCATTGATAACAATGTCGGTCAATATCCAATCCTTGGTCACATTTTCATTGATAACAATGTCGGTCATTTAGCATCCACAACATCATTGATCACATTTTTATTGGTGTCAATGGCATCCACAACATCCTTGGTCACATTTTCATTGATAACAATGTCAGTCAATGGCATCCACAACATACTTGGTCACATTTTCATTGATAACAATGTCGGTCATTGGCATCCACAACATCCTTGATCACATTTTCATTGATAACAATGTCGGTCAATGGCATCCACAACATCCTTGGTCATATTTTCATTGATAACAATGTCGGTCAATGCATCCACAACATCCTTGGTCACATTTTCATTGATAAAATGTCGGTCATTACATCCACAACATCATTGGCAATGTCGGTCAATGGCATCCACAACATCCTTGGTCACATTTTCATTGATAACAATGTCGGTCCAAACATGGCATCCACAATATCCATTGGTCACATTTTGGTCATTGATAACAATGTCGGTCAATGACATCCACAAATATCCTTGGTCACATTTTCATTGATAACAATGTCGGTCAATGGCATCCACAACATCCTTGGTCACATTTTATTGATAACAATGTCGGTCAATGGCATCCACAACATCCTTGGTCATTTTCATTGATAACAATGTCAATCAATATTCATTGATCACATTCCATTGATAACAATGTCGGTCAATGGCATCCATAACATCATTGATCATATTTCTCGATAATAATGTCGGTCAATGGCATCCATGTCAATGGCATCCTTGGTCACATTTTCATTGATAACAATGTCGGTCAATGGCACCACATCCTTAAATTCCATTGATCAATGCATCCACAACATCCTTGGTCACATTTTCATTGATAACAATGTCGGTCAATGGCATCCAAACATCATTGGTCACATTTTCCAATGTCGGTCAATATCCACAACATCCTTGGTCACATTTTCATTGATAACAATGTCGGTCAATGGCATCCACATCATCCTGATCACATTTTCATTGATAACAATGTCGGTCAATGGCATCCACAACATCCTTGGTCACATTTTCATTGATAACAATGTCGGTCAATGGCATCCAAACATCCTTGATCATCCTTGATCATATTTTCATTTTCATTGATAACAATGTCGGTCAATGGCATCCACAACATCCTTGATCACATTTTTATTGATAACAATGTCGGTCAATGGCATCCACAACATCCTTGGTCACATTTTCATTGATAACAATGTCGGTCAATGGCATCCACAACATCCTTGGTCACATTTTCATTGATAACAATGTCGGTCAATGGCATCCACAATTTTCATCGGTCAATGGCATCCACAACATGGTCACATTTTCATTGATAACAAATGTGTCGGTCAATGGCATCCATAACATCCTTGGTCACATTTTCATTGATAACAATGTCGGTCAATGGCATCCACAACATCCTTGGTCACATGGATTTTCATTGATAACAATTCGGTCAATGGCATCCACAACATCCTTGGTCACATTTTCATTGAACAACAATGTCGGTCAATCATCCACAATGCCTGGCATCATTGATAACAATGTCGGTCAATGGCATCCTCCTTGGTGTTTTCATGATAACAATGGTCAATGGCATCTACAGCATCCACAATGTCGGTCACATCCTTGGTCACATTTTCATTGATAACAATGTCGGTCAATGGCATCCACAACATCCTTTTTATTGATAACAATGTCAATGGCATCCACAACATCCTTGGTCACATTTTCATTGATAACAATGTCGGTCAATGGCATCCACAACATCGGTTGGTCACATTTTCATTACCATTTATAACAATGTCGGTCAATGCATCCACAATTCCTTGGTCATTTTCATTGATAACAATGTCGGTCAATGGCATCCACAGCATCCTTGGTCACATTTTCATTGATAACAATGTCGGTCAATGGCATCCACAACATCCTTGGTCACATTTTCATTGATAACAATGTCGGTCAATGGCATCCACAACATCCTTGGTCACATTTTCATTGATAACAATGTCGGTCAATGGCATCCACAATATCCTTGGTCACATTTTCATTGATAACAATGTCGGTCAATGGCATCCACAGCATCCTTGGTCACATTTTCATTGATAACAATGTCGGTCAAAGGCATCCACAACATCCTTGGTCACATTTTCATTGATAACAATGTCGGTCAATGGCATCCACAGCATCCTTGGTCACATTTTCATTGATAACAATGTCGGTCAATGGCATCCACAACATCATTGATCACATTCTCATTGATAACAATGTCGGTCAATCCACATCCACAACATCATTGATCACATTCTGGCATCCACAACATCCTTGGTCAATTGATAACAAATGTCATCAATGGCATCCACAACATCCTTGGTCACATTTTCATTGATAACAATGTCGGTCAATGGCATCCACAACATCCTTGGTCACATTTTTTTCAATGGCATCCACAAATATCCTTGTCACATTTTCATTGATAACAATGTCGGTCAATGGCATCCACAACATCATTGATCACATTTTCATTGATAACAATGTCGGTCAATGGCATCCACAACATCCTTGGTCACATTTTCATTGATAACAATGTCGGTCAATGGCATCCACAACATCCATTGATCACATTTTCATTGATAACAATGTCGGTCAATGGCATCCACAACATCCTGGTCACATTTTCATTGATAACAATGTCGGTCAATGGCATCCACAACATCCTTGTCACATTTTCATTGATAACAATGTCGGTCAATGGCATCCACAACATCCTTGTCACATTTTCATTGATAACAATGTCGGTCAATGGCATCCACAACATCCTTCGTCACATTTTCATTGATAACAATGTCGGTCAATGGCATCCACATCCTTTCATTTTTTATTGATAACAATGTCGGTCAATGGCATCCACAACATCATTGATCACATTCTCATTGATAACAATGTCGGTCAATGGCATCCACAACATCCTTGGTCACATTTTCATTGATAACAATGTCGGTCAATGGCATCCACAACATCATTGATCACATTCTCATTGATAACAATGTCGGTCAATGGCATCCACAACATCCTTGGTCACATTTTCATTGATAACAATGTCGGTCAATGGCATCCACAACATCCTTGGTCACATTTTCATTGATAACAATGTCGGTCAATGGCATCCACAACATCCTTGGTCACATTTTCATTGATAACAATGTCGGTCAATGGCATCCAATATCCTTGGTCACATTTTCATTGATAACAATGTCGGTCAATGGCATCCACAACATCCTTGGTCACATTATCATTGATAACAATGTCGGTCAATGGCATCCACAACATCCTTGGTCACATTTTCATTGATAACAATGTCGGTCAATGGCATCCATTCCTTGGTCACATTTTTATTGATAACAATGTCGGTCAATGGCATCCACAACATCCTTGGTCACATTTTCATTGATAACAATGTCATCAATGATATCATTGATCAATTTTTATTGATAACAATGTCGTCAATGGCATCCACAACATCCTTGGTCACATTTTCATTGATAACAATGTCGGTCAATGGCATCCACAACATCCTTGGATCATTTTCATTGATAACAATGTCGGTCAATGGCATCCACAACATCCTTGGTCACATTTTCGTGATAACAATGTCGGTCAATGGCATCCACAACATCCTTGATCATATTTTATTGATAACAATGTCAATGGCATCCAAACATCCTTGGTCACATTTTCATTGATAACAATGTCGGTCAATGGCATCCACAACATCCTTGGTCACATTTTCATTGATAACAATGTCGGTCAATGGCATCCTTATCCTAACAATGGTCACATTTTCATTGATAACAATGTCGGGCATCCATCAATGGCATCATTGATAACAATCCTTGTCGGTCAATGGCATCCACAACATCCTTGGTCACATTTTCATTGATAACAATGTCGGTCAATGGCATCCACAACATCATTGATCACATTTTCATTGATAACAATGTCGGTCAATGGCATCCACAACATCCTTGGTCACATTTTCATTGATAACAATGTCGGTCAATGGCATCCACAACATCATTGGTCACATTTTCATTGATAACAATGTCGGTCAATGGCATCCACAACATCCTTGGTCACATTTTCATTGATAACAATGTCGGTCAATGGCATTCACAGCATCCTTGGTCACATTTTCATTGATAACAATGTCAGTCAATGGCATCCACAACCTTGGTCACGTTTCCGGTCAATGGTCACAACATCATTTCATTTTTCATTGATAACAATGTCGGTCAATGGCATCCACAACATCCTTGGTCACATTTTCATTTATAACAATGTCGGTCAATGGCATCCACAACATCCTTGGTCACATTTTCATTGATAACAATGTCGGTCAATGGCATCCACAACATCCTTGATCACATTTTCATTGATAACAATGTCGGGTCAATCAATCCTTGGTCACATTTTCATTGATAACAATGTCGGTCAATGGCATCCACAACATCCTTGGTCACATTTTCATTGGTCGGTCAATGGCATCCACAACATCCCCCTTTTGGTCTATTTTCATTGTTGTCATCAATGGCATAAAACATCCTTGATGTTTTCATTTATTAACAATGTCGGTCAATCCACAACATCCTTGATCACATTCCGGCAATGTAATGTCGACAATGGCATCCAGGTGCATTTTCATTGGTAATGTCGGTGTGGCATCAACATCCTTGGTCATTTTGATAACAATGTTATCAATGCATCCACAAACATTCTTGGTCATATTTTCATTGATAACAATGGTCATCGGCATCCACAGCATCCTTGGTCACATTTTCATTTATAACAATGTCGGTCAATGGCATCCACAACATCATAGTGCTTTCATTAGGTCATCATATCATTGATAACAATGTCGGTCCAAAGGCATCCACAACATCCTGGTCACATTTTCATTGATAACAATGTCGGTCAATGGCATCAACATCATTGATCCATTTTATTGATAACAATGTCTCAATCATCCACAACATCATGGTCACATTTCATTGATAACAATGTCGGTCAATGGCATCCACAACATCCTGGTCACATTTTCATTGATAACAATGTCGGTCAATGCATCCACAACATCCTTTTGGTCATATTTTCATTGATAACAATGTCGGTCAATGGCATCCACAACATCATTGATCACATTTTTATTAACAATGTCCGATAACAATGTCGGTCAATGGCATCCCACAACATCCTTCTGCTCACATTTCATTGATAACAATGTCGGTCAATGTGGCATCCACAACATCATTGATCGTCATTTTGTTGATAACAATATCAATTTGGGATTCATAACATCCTGGTCACGCCATTTTCATTGATAATGTAAATGTTTTGTCAATGGCATCCACAATATCCTTGGTCATATTTTTCATTGATAACAATGTTTATCAATAAGTATCCACAACATCCTTGACATTTTCATTGATAACAATAAATGAAGCCAATGGCATCCATTGTAATATCCTGGGTCATATTTTTATAATGTAAATGTCGGTCAATGGCATCCACAACATCCTGGTCACATTTTCATTGATAATAATGTTTATCGTCAATGGCAACCATGTACTTGGTCACATTTCATTGATAACAATGTATCCTGGTCACATTTTCATTGATAACAATGTCGGTCAATGGCATCCACAACATCCTTTTGGTCATATTTTCATTGATAACAATGTCGGTATCCACAATACTTGGTCACATTTTCATTGGAGGTCAATGTCGGGCCGGCTTGCATCCACAACATCATTGATCACATTTTTATTGATAACAATGTCGGTCAATGGCATCCACAACATCCTTGGTCACATTTTCATTGATAACAATGTCGGTCAATGGCATCCACAACATCATTGGTCACATTTTCATTGATAAAATGTTTATCATTGGCATCCGCCAACATCCTTGATCACATTTTTTCATTGATAACAAATGTTTTGTCAATGACATCCACAACATCCTTGGTCACATTTTTCATTGAAAACAATGTTTATCAATAAGCATCCACAACATCCTTGGATCATTTTCATTGATAACAATGTCGGTCAATGAAGCCAATCCTTGGTCACATTTTCATTGATAACAATCCTGGGTCCACAACATCATTTTTCTCATTGATAACAATGTCGATCAATGGTATCCACAACATCCTTGGTCATATTTTCATTGATACCAAATGTCGGAATGGTATCCACAACATCCTTGGTCATTTTCATTGATAACAATGTCGGTCAATGGCATCCACAGCATCCTTGGTCATTTTCATTGATAACAAATGTTTGTCAATGGCATCCACAACATCATTGGCTCATTCTCATTGATAACAATGTCGGTCAATGGCATCCACAACATCCTTGGTCACTATTAATAATGTCAGCTCAATGGCATAAACAATGTTCTTGGTCACATTGATATGTCAATCATCCACAACATCCTTGGTCACATTTTCATATTGATAACAATGTCGGTCAATGGCATCCACAACATCATTGGTCACATTTTCATTGATAACAATGTCGGTCAATGGTCAATCATTGGCATCCATCAAACATCCTTGGTCACATTTTCATTGATAACAATGTCGGATCACATTTTATTGATAACAATGCATCCACAACATCATTGATCACATTTTCATTGGATAACAATGTCGGTCAATGGCATCCACAAATATCCTGGTCACATTTTCATTGATAACAATGTCGGTCAATGGCATCCACAACATCCTTGGAGTCATTTTCATTGATAAAATGTCGGTCAATGGCATCCACAACATCCTTGGTCACATTTTATTGATAACGGTCAATGACATCCATCGCATCCTTAGTCATATTTCATTAAAACAATGTCGGTCACCGGCATCCACAACATCCTTGGTCACATTCTTTGATAACAATGTCGGTCAATGGCATCCACAACATCCTTGGTCACACATTTCATTGATAACAATGTCGTCAATATCCACAACATCCTTGGTCACATTTTCATTGATAACAATGTCGGTCAATGGCATCCACAACATCCTTGGTCACATTTTCATTGATAACAATGTCGGTCAATGGCATCCACAACATCCTTGGTCACATTTTCATTGATAACAATGTCAAATGGTCCACAACATCATTGGTCAAATTCCATTGATACAATGTCAGGTCAATGGCATCCACAACATCCTTGGTCACATTTTCATTGATAACAATGTCGGTCAATGGCATCCACAATTTTCATAACAATGTCGGTCAATGGCATCCACAACATCACATTTTCATTGATAACAATGTCGGTCAATGGCATCCACAACATCCTTGGTCAATTTTTACATCCGGTCAATGGCATACACAACATCCTTGGTCATTGATAATAAACAATGTCGGTCAATGGCAATGTCAGTGGTATCACAACATCCTTGGTCACATTTTCATTGATAACAATGTCGGTCAATGGTATCCACAACATCCCTGATCACATTTTTGCCGATAACAATGTCGGTCAATTGCATCCACAACATCCTGGTCACATTTTCATTGATAACAATGTCGGTCAATGGCATCCACAACATCCTTTGGTCACATTTTCATTGATAACAATGTCGGTCAATGGCATCCACAATATCCTTTGGTCATTTTTCATTGATAACAACGTCGGTCAATGCATCCACAGCATCCTTGGCTTCCGGCTTTCATTGATAACAATGTCGGTCAAAGGCATCCACAACATCCTGGTCACATTTTCATTGATAACAATGTCGGTCAATGGTATCCACAGCATCCTTGGTCACATTTCATTGATAACAAATGTCGGTCACCTTATCCGAACACCAATGTTGATAACAAATGTCGGTCAATGGCATCCACAATCATCCCTGTCACATTTTCATTGATAACAATGTCGGTCAATGGCATCCACAACATCATTGATCATTTTATTGATAAATAATGTCGGTCAATTGCATCCACAAAATATCCTTAGTCACATTTTCATTGATAACAATGTTTGTCAATGCAGCATCCACAACTCAGGTCATATTTTCATTGATAACAATGTCGTAGTCAATGGCATCCACAACATCCTTGGACATATTTTCGTCGATAACACGTAATGTCGGTCAATGGCATCCACAACATCCTTGGTCACATTTTCATTGATAACAATGTCGGTCAATGGCATCCACAAAATACTTGGTCAATTTTACTGATAACAATGTCGGTCAATGGCATCCACAAATATCTTGGTCACATTTTTCATTGATAATGTTATCAATGGCATCCACAGTATCCTTGGTCACATTTTCATTGATAACAATGTCGGTCAATGGCATCCACAACATCCTTGGCTCGACATTTTCATTGATAACAATGTTTGTATCAATGGCATCCACAGCATCCTTTGGTCACATTTTCATTTTTGGTCAATGGCATCCACAACATCCTTGGTCACATTTTCATTGATAGCCGGGTCAATGGCATCCACAACATCCTTGGTCACATTTTCATTGATAACAATGTCGTCAATGGCATCCACAACATCCTTGGATAACAATGTCGGTCAATTGGCATCCACAACATCCTTGGTCACATTTTCATTGATAACAATGTCGGTCAATGGCATCCATAACATCCTTGATCGGATAACAATGTCATCCACCACAACATCCTTGGTCATGGCCTCATTGATAACAATGTCGGTCAATGGCATCCACAACATCCTTGGTCACATTTTCATTGATAACAATGTCGGTCAATGGCATCCACAACATCAACAGTCACATTTATTTTAACAATGTCGGTCAATGGCATCCAACATCCTTGGTCACATTTTCATTGAACAATGTTTATCAATTGGTCACGCATCCATGTCATCAATTGATCACAACATTTTCATTGATAACAATGTCAGTCAATGGCATCCACAACCTTGGCATTTTCATTGATAACAATTGGCATCCACAACATCATTGGATCACATTTTCATTGATAACAATGTCGGTCAATGGCATCCACAACATCCTTGGTCACATTTTCTTTCATTGATAACAATGTCACATTTTCATTGTCAATGGCATCCACAACATCCCTTGGTCACATTTCATTGATAACAATGTCGGTCAATGGCATCCACAACATCCTTGGTCACATTTTCATTGATAACAATGTCATCTCAATGGATCCTTGGTCACATTTTCATTGATAATGTCGGTCAATGGCATCCACAACATCCTTGGTCACATTTTCATTGATAACAATGTCGGTCAATGGCATCCACACATCATTGGTCATTTTCATTGATAACAATGTCAGTCAATGGCACAACATCCTTTCATTTTCATTGATAACAATGTCGGTCAATGGCATCCACAACATCCTTGGTCACATTTTCATTGATAACAATGTCGGTCAATGGCATCCACAACATCCTTGGTCACATTTTCATTGATAACAATGTCGGTCAATGGCATCCACAACATCCTTGGTCACATTTTCATTGATAACAATGTCGGTCAATGGCATCCACAACATCATTGATCACATTTTCATTGATAACAATGTCGGTCAATGGCATCCACAACATCCTTGGTCACATTTTCATTGATAACAATGTCGGTCAATGGCATCCACAACATCATTGATCACATTCTCATTGATAACAATGTCGGTCAATGGCATCCACAACATCCTTGGTCACATTTTCATTGATAACAATGTCGGTCAATGGCATCCACAACATCCTTGGTCACATTCTCATTGATAATAATGTCGGTCAATGGCATCCACAACATCCTTGGTCACATTTTTCATTGATAACAATATCAGTCAGTGGCATCCCCAACATCCTTGGTCACATTTTCATTGATAACAATGTCAGTCAATAGCATCCATATCCTTGGTCCACATTTTATTAATGTAACAATGTCGGTCAATGGCATCCACAATATTCTTGGTCACATTTTTCATTGATAACAATAATCGGTCAATGGCATCCACAGCATCCTTGGTCACATTTTCATTGATAACAATGTCGGTCAATGGCATCCTAACATCCTTGGTCACATTTTCCATTGTGATAACAATGTCGGTCAATGGCATCCACAACATCGTTGATCGCATTTTATTGATAACAATGTCGGTCAATGGCATCCACAGCATCCTTGGTCACATTTCATTGATAACAATGTCGGTCAATGGCATCCACAACATCATTGATCACATTTTCATTGATAATAATGTCAGTCAATTGCATCCACAACATCCTTGGACACATTTTCATTTATAACAATGTCGGTCAATGGCATCCACAATATCCTTGGGTCGCATTTTCATTGATAACAATGTCGGTCAATTGCATCACAACATCATTGGTCAGTCCACATCCGCAACATTCATTTCATTGATAACAATGTCGGTCAATGGCATCCACAACATCCTTGGTCGTATTTTCATTGATAACAATGTCGATCAAATGTCCACAGCGTCATGAAGATGCATTTCGTGATAACAATGTCGGTCAATGGCATCCACAACATCATTGATCACATTCTCATTGATAACAGTATCGGTCAATGGCATCCACAACATCCTTGGTCACATTTTCATTGATAACAATGCCGGTCAATGGCATCCACAGCATCCTTGATCCACATTTTTTCGATAACAATGTCGGTCAATGGCATCCACAACATCCTTGGTCACATTTTCATTGATAACAATGTCCGGTCCAATGGCATCCACAACATCCTTGGTCCATTTCATTTTCAATGGCGTAAACATCCTTTCACATTTCATGTCAATGTCAGTCCAATATCCACAACATCATTGATCACATTTTCATTGATAACAATGTCAGTCAATGGCATCCACAACATCCTTGGTCGCTATTTTCATTGATAACAATGTCGGTCCAATGGCATCCACAACATCGTGATCATTTCTCATTGATAACAATGTCGGTCAATGGCATCCACAACATCTTGGTCTGTTTTCATTGATAACAATGTCGGTCAATGGCATCCACAACATCATTGGTCATATTTTCATTGATAACAATGTCAGTCAATGGCATCCACATCCTTGATCATTCTCATTGATAACAATGTCGGTCAATGGCTCCACAACATCATTGGTCACATTTCATTGATAACAATGTCGGTCAATGGCATCCACACATCCTTGGTCACATTTTTATTGATAACAATGTTCAATGGCATCCTAGCATCAGCTTGGTCATTTTCATTGATAAATGTCGGTCAATGGCATCACAACGTCCTTGGTCATTTTCATTAATGCAATGTCGGTCAATGGCATCCACAATATCCTTGGTCACATTTTCATTGATAACAATGTCGGTCAGTAACAATCCTTGGTCATTTTCATTGATAAGGTCATCCATCCCACAGCTCATTGATCATTTTCGTGTAACAATGTCGGTCAAAAGCATCCACAACATCCTTGGTCACATTTTCATTGATAACAATGTCGGTCAATGGCATCCACATCCTTGGTCATATTTTCATTGATAACAATGTCGTCGGTCAATGGCATTTTCAATAACATTGTCGGTCAATCCAATCCATTTCATTATTGATAATGTCGGTCAATGGCATCCCACAACATCATTGATCCATTTTATTGATAACAATGTCGGCATCCACAACATCCTTGGTCGCATTTTCGTGATAACAATGTCGGTCAATGGCATCCTAACATCCTTGGTCACATTTTCATTGATAACAATGTCGGTCAATCCACAATATCCTTGGCTTTCCGCATTTTCATCAATGTCAATGGCATCCACATCATCTTGGTCACATTTTCATTGATAACAATGTTTATCAAAGGCATCCACACAAGTGGCATTTCTTCACTTTTGATAACAATGTCGGTCAATGGTATCCACAGCATCCTTGGTCACATTTTCATTGATAACAATGTCGGTCAATGGCATCCACATCATTGATCACATTTTATTGATAACAATGTCAGTCAATGGCATCCACAACATCTGGTCACATTTTCATTGATAACAATGTCGGTCAATGGCATCCACAACATCATTTGATCACATTTTTATTGATAACAATGTCGGTCAATGGCATCCACAACATCCTTGGTCACATTTTCATAGATAACAATGTCGGTCAATGGCATCCACAACATCCTTTGGTCATATTTTCATTGATAACAATGTCGGTCAATGGCATCCACAACATCCTTGGTCACATTTTCATTGATAACAATGTCGGTCAATGGCATCCACAACATCCTGATCACATTCTCATTGATAACAAGTGTCAGTCAATGGCATCCAGCATCCATGGTCACATTTTTCATTGATAACAATGTCGGTCAATGGCATCCACAAACTCGTGATCATTTTAGTAATAGCAATGTCAGTCAATGGCATCCACATTCTCATTGATAACAATGTCGGTCGTGGCATCACAACATCCTTGGTCCACATGTTCATTGATAACAATGTCAGTCAATGGCATCACAACATCATTGGACACATTCATTTATAACAATATGTCGGTCAATAGCATCCACAACATCCTTGATTTCACATTTTTCTTGATAACAATGTCGGTCAATGGCATCCAGCATGTTGACATCCTGTCGGTCAATATCCCAACATCCTTAATTTTCATTGATAACAATGTCAGTCAATAGCATCCACAACATCCTTGATCATTTCGTATTACCATTTATATTGAATGTCATCCTTGGCATTTTCATTTAAGTAACAGCATCAATGATCCACATTTTCATTTCGTGATAACAATGTCGGTAATGCTCCACAACATCATTGGTCACATTTTCATTGATAACAATGTCGGTCAATGGCATCCACAATATCCTTGGTCACATTTCATTTATAACAATGTCGGTCAATGGCATCCCTAGGCTATTGATCACATTTTTGTGCAATAACAATGTCAATAGCGTCACAACATCCTTGGTCAATTTTCATTGGCATGTCAGTGTGGCAACATCCTTGGTCACATTTTTCATTGATAACAATGTCGGTCAATGGCATCACAACATCCTTGATCACATTTTTGGTGATAACAATGTCGGTCAATGGCATCTATCCTTCGTCCATTTTCATTGATAACAATGTCCGGTCAATGGCATCCACAACGTGATCATTTTTATTGATAACAATGTCGGTCAATGGCATCCACAACATCCTTGCGGTCACATTTTTCATTGATAACAATGTCAGTCAATGGCATCCCAACACTCATTGTCATATTTTTATTGTGATAACAATGTCGGTCAATGGCATCCACAACGGCCCATGGACCATTTTCATTTCAATGTCAGTCAATGGCATCCCTGGCTATCTTGGTCATATTTTCATTGATAACAATGTCAGTCAATGCTCCACAACATCCTTGGTCACATTTTCATTTATAAGCAATGTCGATCAATGGCATCCACAACATCCTTGGTTCAAATTTTCATTGATAACAATGTCAGTCAATGGCATCCAACATCAGTGATCATTTTTATTGATAACAATGTCAGTCAATGGCATCCACAGCATCCTTGGTCACATTTTTCATTGATAACAATGTCGGTCAATATGGCATCCACAACATCATTGATCACATTCTCATTGATAACAATGTCGGTCAATGGCATCCACAACATCCTTGGTCACATTTCATTGATAACAATGTCGGTCAATGGCATCCACAACATCTTGTCATTCTCATTACGATATTAACAATGTCGATTGTCCAATATATTGATCAACATCATTGATCATTCTCATTGA